CCGTTGAAGGTGGGCTGCGCGCGGTGGGCCAGGTGCGAAATCCGCGGCTTCTTGTTGGCGAGCGGGTCGATGAACTCCAGAGGCTGGGAGCGTTTCTGGGAGAGGGCAAAAGGGAACAAGAAAACCAAAAGAACGATCGCTTAGGAGCGTGCTGGGAGCGGGGAGGACACGCGCTCCGCACGCGGCGGCCGCTAGATGGAGGTGCGGGAGCGTCGACACAGGGAGAGCCCTGCTAAAAATAAAGGACCTGCCAAATCCCCGCTCAGAGGCGGCTCTCGGATGCCCCGGTGGGACCCCACGGGTGACAACCCAGCCCTAACCACCCCCCGAAACCCCGAGAGCCGCTGGGGAGCCCGGGGCAAGCGCTGGGGCTGCTTACAGAAACCCGCAAGTCAGATAAGTAATTTTTTTTTTTAATCTTCTACGCTATTCCTGTGCAAACCATGCAACCCATCTGACCTCTTTGAGGTTCTTTTTTCCCCAGTTTAACCCTTTAAATGTAAAGCTTCCTCCTCCTCCTCCTCCCTGCTGCTTCCAACTATTAGCAGAGAACAAACCCCCATGAAAACATCCATCCTCTGCCCCGCATTTGCAGAACACCCACGGGTGCAGGAGTCTGTCCGAGGTGCGGAGGAGCGACGCGCTCGGGCCTCTGCCGTGCAGAGGGATCCCAAGTTCTGCATTTTATTCCCAACTAATTGTCACCAACTCTGTGGCCAACAACTTTACCCTTGCACCACACTCCTTGCCCTTCTCAAGGGGGACGTTTCCTGGAAGAGGGGAGAAACTCATTTGTGCAAATGCCCAGCCTTTAAGGCAAAAAAGAACATGAGGAGCAGCTTTCAATGCCATTTCTCATGGTCCAGCAGAACTTTAACATTCCTGAAGTGGAAAAAAAAAAGAGAGCAGCAGTTTCCATGTGGGCAATCAGCCCTACCTGGGCAGCCACAGGAGAAGAAAGCTCTGCATGCCTGTTTTCTAAATGTAGGTGCGTGTCTACAGGCTAAGGTCAGCTCGGGGGAAGTTACCCTGAAAGATCCCAGCCCCCAGGCAGCAAAGTTTAAAAAAAAAAAAAAAAAAGAAACACCTCAATTTAGAGCCAAAACGCTATGGCCGTCAGGCTCGATCCAGTTTGGGGCAGCTGAAATTACCTTGGACAGCTATCAGCACGGCGGCGTGCGCCGGCCTGGCAGCACAACATCTGAGGAAAGATTATTTAGTGCCCAGCGGAAGACAAGTGATAGTTCTGGATATTTCCTTTGGATGTTGCATTATTTTCTTTACTGTCTCCGGCAGGGCTGCAACGCTCCTGCAAAAGGAACTTTTGTTCCGTCATGAAAGTGCAGTTGTGGCAGCGCCGGGTCCCTCCTTGCCCCGCGCGGGTCCTGAGGACGGGCTCCGAGCCGTGTCCAAGCCGTGTCCGTCTCTCCAAGAGCAGGGAGCACTCGCCCGAGTGCAGGTCCTGGATCTAAGCTACTGTCTATACCCACCTTGACTTCAAGCCATCGAATCCCACTGGCAGCAGCTTCAGCTCCTCGCTGCTCTGCCACGGGCTTCTCGGGAATTACTCCACCAACTGCTTTCTTGCTTTCATTCCTGATCTTTTTTTCCAAACAATTTGCATTTAAGGCTATCAAATCCTCGTCCTCTGCTGGGACAGCAACCACCAGAACAGCGGCCTTTCTCTAAACAGAAACTGCAGCTACATTTTATGTAGCATCAACAAATGACCCCTGCAATAAGCAGCTGTCTGTGGTTTGCAGCCACAACAGAAGCGCTGCTGGCAACACCTCTACCCCTTGCTCAGTTGCTGCTCTTTGACTACCCTTTTCTAGATCCCAGGGAATCAACGGCCCAAGGTTTTGATGAACTAACATGTAATCACAGCGACCCAAAACATCCCTACAGCCTCTCACGTCTTTCAGAAATATGTAAAGCCAGGAGCAAGACGGTTTTCACCTCCTGGCAGCACAGGGCCTTTCCAAGTTAACTCAGAGGAACGGGATCGTTGGTTATTCACCAGCAACACACCCACTGCAGAAGAGCATTTGGAATTAGCTACCTGGCAAACAAGTTGCACAGTTCTTGTTCTCAATGGAGAATTGCTTCCCTCTTGCTGCCAGAAAGCACATAATTTCCTTACCTGCTAATATTCTTTGCCACTAATCCTCCGCGCGTCTGTCCAGACAAGTAAGCATTACACATTCCACTGGCAGGAGCAGGATAAATACTCGACTTGTCTGGACTGACCCACAGGAGAGGGGAAGAAGGTTTCGCAATCCTAGCGAGAAACGCCTGAACAAAAAGATACTGAGACAGAAAAACAAGGACAGGCTCTGCTTAACACACAGATCTTCCGTGGTTTATCATCACTGAACAACAGCTACTGCCACCAGAGAGCAACAGCATCAGCTCTGCAGAGCTGGAGTGAGAAAAGCTGCTTCCAAGAGAAAGTGCTCTGCTAGCTCTCTCGGGGACAGGCTGTACTGACAAGAAGAAAAAGCCAAAAATAAAAATATTTCCAGCTTATTCGCACAAATGTTTGCAAATAAAATGTTTAGCTATGAGTTTCTTCCGCCTCTGAAAGATCTTCAACAGCTGTCTAACATTATATGAGAGGCCACCTGAAAAGCATGAGTCTTAGGAAGGTGGCAGCAGGCCGAGTCGCCAGTAAGAGGACACATCTCCAGGATATCCAGTGACCAGAAACGGTGCTTTTCACAGCCTCACGCACTGGCATCCCAACAAATCAAAGAGCAGACCAACCTGCCCCTGATCCGTCACAGCAATTAGACTGCAAAAGGTCAAGGTTTTTAATAACTCAGCTGTGTTTGGGAGCTGCTTATTACTGCTTCTTTCCAGTCAATTATTGGTAGCGAGTAAAACACAAGCTCACATTTGCCCAAAGGAATTATAGGTACTTTTTAAAATGTATCCCTTAAAATGAAACCTGAGAGCACGTTGTGGGAGAGCCTCCCCAAACTCTGCTGCTGAACTGAATCCAGAGGAGAAACAGAGCTGCAGGAACCCTAGGAACAGGCCCTAACTTGGGGGAAAACCGAAACGGGAGACACTCGTGGAGCTGCCCGCGCCGGAGGCAGGAGCTGCAGCCGGGGACACCCACCTGCGGCGGGGAGCCGGAGTTGACGGGCTCCTTCGGCGGGCTCAGGGACGGCGCCTCGGCGTGGAACGCGCCGCTGTTCTGCGGCTGACACAGCTTCCTGCAACGGAGAGCACAGGGTTACTCGGATCCCGAGCAAGCGAGACCGGGATTCCGAACGCAGCTGAACGAGCAAGGCGGCGGCGGAACCCATTTCGCGCCAGGGTGATAATTCCCATTCCCGCCGGGTATCCCCGCTCCCCAGCGGGGCGCTCCAGCTCTCGGAGCAAAGTTTGGGAGAGCCCTGGCTTTGCCCTAGGACTCGGAGCCAGGGAGCCCATCTCCGAAGCCTCCCGGCTGCAGCTGCCGGGCTGGGGGACGGGGTGGAGGTTTTAATGAACGAGCTCGGCCGCCCCTTTGCCACCAGCTGCACCGGCCGAACCACCGACATCCCCCTCCTGCTTCCAAGGCCAGAATCAGCTTCCCAGCACACGCCTCTATTTTTTCCAGACATTGGGAAGATGATTTCAGAGAGATCTTTGCAAGATTTTCTTCCAACCTGACCCACTGGCTGTAGTGCAGCAGTGTTTGGATGCCACAGCCTGAGTGTCCTTCGGGCTTAAGCTATTGCTTGTGTTCATTTTATTTAGAGCAATCTCGATAGCAATGGATTGACTCGGGAACAGGGATATTCCATAAACACCATAGCAAGTAGCTCTACTACCACCTCTCCTCACGTGTTAATTACAGAATAAAGAAAAAAAAATGCAGTAAATGAAAGTTTGCTACTGTCAGTTCAGTATCTCTTGGAATAGCAGAAAGGCTTCGAACAGTGGTGAAAGAAGGGGAAAAAAGCAACCAGGTTAGACCCAGCCAACGTTAGTGCATAGAAATGGCTCTGAGATGTGTTAATTATTGCAACTGTTCAACCATCAAGCGGCAACGGGGCCTGGAAACAGGAGGGACGCTCAGGATCCGTGCGGATCCGGCGGCGCCGCCGGCAGCGGGTGCCCAAAGCTCCACGGCTGCTGCCCGGGCCCTGTTTGCGAGTGGTTTTCTGCTGCCTTCAACCCTACATGTTTTTTCCATTTTGTAGCCTCATTACCTGCATTGGCTGAGTGGGTCTTTGTTTGTACAGTTGAATACATCCTTTCCAAGGTCTATTTTTAGACCTGCAGCATAACTGAATGCCACAATTCTAGAAAAAGCAGTAAACATTGCTTTCTGCAGAGAGAAGTTAACTTTTGTGGAAGCCAAAAAGATTACATGGCACTTTACTTCGCTGTTTAATTACCATTCAAGATCAAGGCCGTGTAAATTAGTTACCCCACTTGGATCTTCCTTTAGTACTGCAAAACACCAAGTGTAAAATCTCACTGGTTTAACGAAGCCTCATCTTGGAGCCAGCTGTGCTTTCGAATCACCCAAAACGGTTCAAATCGGAGTTCTGCAGAACTAAACTCTGCTGTGCTTTTTCAACCACATTCGTGCATCCCTTTCTACAACCCAGCCTCACTCTTGCAGGGGACCTGACTCTGTGATACCTAATAGAATTTGCAACGCAGAGGGGATGAACAGAAAAGGGAAAATAAAAGGCACTCAAATAACAGAATTTACAGAAATTAGGTGGCAAAGTCTCCAAAGAGAGAGCTCAAAGAACAGGAGAATGCACGTGAGCAGGACACAGAAGGAGCTGAGCAGGACAACGAGGGACCATGGCAGCGAGGGGACACGACTGCAGAGTCATTTCTCTCTTGCTGCCTTAACAAAACCAAGGCGGTCTGTACAGGAAGCCGCGTACGCGGAGATACGGAAAACGGGAAGGAGACTTTCAATGGAGAGTGGAACTGGATACATTTGCCTTAATCCATTCCTCTTCCAGGATTCTAAACCACTGTTGGCTTTTAATAGCAACATTTTTCTCCCCATCCACATTCTTGTGTAGCTTTTGCTGTAACATATTAAATCTGCTGCAACCTAGTAATTTAAGAACATATAGAGACTGAAGGCTGCATCCTCTTTGATATTTCCCAATTCCGTCACTTTCTGCACTTGCCTGGACGACAGCCAGACTTTATGGTAAAGTAATTCCAGTTTACTGAAGCCCAACTGACTTCTGCTGCTCTGATCTAGAGCAGCTGACCTGGCCTGATATTCTCAAGCGCTAAATGATACTGCAGAAATGGAATAATCACCGAACAAGGATCCTCTTCAGCAACTGCTGATCTCCTTCGGAGTAGCCAGGCCAGTCCTTCTGCACTTCCTTGTACACAGTGTCTTTCAGTGTGAAAGTGCTGTCCTTGGCGCTCAGATTTGCCACCTGGAACAAAAACAATTTGCAAAAACAGTTAGGATGCAACTTGGGCACTTTCTCTAAAGACTATCTAAGATGTTGGCAAAGTTTCAGCAGACTTAGTTGTAGTTAGTGGTGTCAGTGAACAAGTAACTACTAAATGATTTGTTTCCAAAACATTTATAAAACTGCGCCTTTGCCTTACTTGTCAATATAAGTAGTTTAATATTAATTTGCAAAGCATATGCAAATTTCCTGGGAAGCAAGTCACATATGTAAAGAGATTATTTAGCACGGATGCATAGCCTGGAATGGCACAATGGGAGTTTATGGAAATACCTGGCAAGTGACCCTATGGGGAGCAGCAGCCCACTCAGCCAGCCTGCCCGAGAGCTAAAATGATGCAATTTATCACCCAACAGGGGAACTTATGATGCAATTTACCAGCCAACAGGGGAACTTAATTGGGGACAGGCTGGTTAACCACTGCCAGACGAGGGCTCCTCATGAACAAATAAAACAGAACAGGAAAGATGCTTTCTGGAGAAGCAGCAGAGAACATCTCGTAAATCTGATGTACCTGGGGACTCGCAGAGCAAACCCTGTGCTCACCAGTTGGTAATCCAGGGTTTGCAGTTAACTGCTCGCACCTATCTCATGTGCTGCAGCCAGCTCAGCGCAGACGCGCGGGCAGCTTTTCTACGCTTCATCCAACTCTATCATGTGGAGTTTTTCCCCATAAAACTCGGGACGGAGCCTACGTGGAAACACTGCTGGAACCAGCAGAATTGTACGGGAATGGAAACAGCTTGTTAGGAGTTATCCCTTTAATCAGTATTTCCACAGCCTGACTGAAATTTTAACCTTTTGCTGAAGGTTACTCATATGAAAACACAATGTTAATACAAAACAGAAAGCTCTGCTGAATGTAGCAACTAAACTGTCACGAATTCTGTGCAGCCTCAGTCAACCTTTGCTTGGTCATTGCAGAGGACTCGGAATCTGGAAGGAACCACCGGGCTTGGACAAAACCAAGTACTGAATCCACATTATAGAGAGGGAAACTGAGGCACAAGTGCCAAGCACGATGCTCACAGCTGTGCTGACCCACTGGGAAGGCCAAGAGCGGAGTCTCAGATTCAGTTTCAGCCCCTCGGTTTGACCATTATATTAATATTACACTTGAAACTGGAGGATGCTTTTATTCAGTCAGTGGAGATGCTGCTTAAGGATTAATGCTCTTCCATTCAGGAGACGGTTGCATTTATGAATTGGTGTTATCCACACAGCTGGAAGATATCCTCAGAAAAGCAAATGAAGCAGTGAAAATAATCTTGAATTAACTGAAGATGCTGTTAATTCCTCTGCTTTTGCTTTACAGAGCATTTCACCCAATATTGTAAATCTACAAATTTGAAAGCAGAAAGCTCGAGTAGTAATTACGGCAAAGCACTCCCAATAAGCAAAAAATAAAAAAGCACAAGTTATCAGTTTACATGACGAACACTTTGTTTTTCCTTTCGGTTCTGTCAGCTTTCCAAAATCCTGAGCCAAAACACAAGAAGAATTTGAGCTGTGTTTTACACGCAGAAACGCCAGCGCGCCGGCCCCGGGGACGCGAGCGGGGCCAGGTCGTGTTTCCCCACGCGGGGCTGCTCTCCCTGCGCGACGCGGCCGCTGCTCCGGCAAAACCCCCCGTGTCTGCTCCCTGCACCGGGGCCGCTGCCTCCCTGCTCTGCTGTGTGCGACTCTGCAAGCTCCACCCCGGGCCTCCCGAAATAGAAACCTTGCAAAACGAGGCAAAAGGGCCAGCGGGAACAGAGAGTCCTGCGAGAGATGCGGGAGCACCAGGAAACCCACACCTAGACGTATTTAGACATGGAGCTTTAATACAGCCTGTAATTTTTAGCTTATCTGTGCCTGCTTGTGGACGGGAGCCCTGGTAGTGCTGAAAGGAGATAAGTTTACAAGCAAGATATTTACAGCCAAATCAGCATTTACCCCAATCCGGCTGACGCTGGAGACGCTACCGACCACAGTGCCAGGCTGCTGCGGGTTGCAACAGCACCAATAAAAGATGATTACCCAAAACAGCATTTCCAGGATTTGACATATTTATAGCATTCAAAAAGTGCTCAGAATAATTCTAGCAGTGCTGGAAAATTAAGGGAATGGAGCTAGAGGATTGATATCCAAGCCGAGAGCGAGCAATGCCAGCAGTAATTCCGTTTTCAATACAATCTGGCCTGTGCCCTTGTCCAAACTAAATCCTCATTCTTCTCAGTCATGGAAAGGAATAAAAAAAAGAATTCCAATACAAAAGGAGGGTAGCTGCAGCATTTAAATAAACATCCACGATGGGTTTTACACTGTGAAAGCAATAGAGGTATTTACTGCACTGCCTGAAATGGCACCTTCAACGTGGCTCGAAGGGTAAAGCCCTGATGCAGCCAGGGAGGGATCCCATTCCCAACACACAAACTGTGTGATTACAGGGAGCTCCATGATCCTCACACCTCACGAGCAACACTGCTAAAGCCAGCGTGTTTATGTCCACGTTAATGAAAATGCAATAGATTTACAGGTTATAATATTTCAAAGAGCTTTCCAGAATAGCTAGAGGCATTCCTCTTATGTGATCTGGTGAGCTGCCTGAACCCAGCTGCGTGCACCCAAGATGAGGTGAGTATACAACACGGAGAACCTTCCACTACCTCTTAAAAAATTAGTACCAGATTGTAACTTGTTTGGCACTCCCTTTAAAGAAAAAAAGAAATAGGCTGCAGCTGTGACATACACACATTACTAATAAGCAATTTACTACTGTTCCAAGAAGACACTTCCTTTTACCTAAACTGTTGCCTCCATGGGAGTACAAACCTGTTGCAGAAGGTTGTCCAGCAAATCCTTGTCCTGCTGAGAAAGTCCATCCTTCTGCAATCTGAGAATAAGTTCAGGTTTCTTATAAGGCTTTAGTGCCAGTAAGTGCACAACCCTGTCTTTGAAGGGTCTCTGGGAAATGGCACTATTGCCTCTCTTGATGGCGCTGGCGAGGTTGACGGGCGTCGGGCGCTTCCTGGACGGAACGGCATCGGAAGCTCCCGGTGCAGGTTTACGCACCTGAACTTTTTTGCCTAAAATGAGATGAGAAGAGTGAAGAGCAGCAGCCACCTCGCGAGGGCCAGGGGGTGGCAGCACATAGGAGAGGTCACCGCGGAGCACCTGAGATACAAGGGAGGACAAACACAACCTGCACCCGCGGGGTCCCGGAGCGCAGCCGGAGCGAGGAACCACCCGGGAATTTGATGATTTGGGACAAGCTTGTAACCAGCAAACAGCAACACCGAGCACTGCGGACCTGGGCATCGCTGGCTCCAAGCCTGCATAAAGCGCTCTTTGTTCGCCCGCTTTCTATTCACCACAAGTGCACGCATCCCCACGGTTAATCTAGCCATTTTCCCCCCTCCCAACGAGAGGAAAATTCTGCATTATTATGCAGAAGAGTCGAAATATGGAGTGGAAGGACCCGGAGCAGTCAACGAGCTGCTCCCTGCTGCTGAGCTCAGCGAAACGGCGGCTCCCGCAGATGTTTCTGCTTTTGGAACAATAGCAACTTTATGGGGCTGGTCACGTCCCTTCCCCCGCCGGCCCGCACAGGACGGACCGGGCCGGGCCCATACGTTGATCTATTAATTAGTGTGCTGGCCACGCTAACGACTAACCCCTTCTGCACCGCAGCAACGACTGCGTCGCCCTCCCGTTGGATCTGCACTCACTTGGGAAGGCACCAGCTGGCCTAAAAACTCACATCATCCCTACGAGCTGCTGCAACTCCATCCCAAATGCCATTCGCCCTTTTGGCTCCGTTATTCCAGAACTCATTCCTCCTACTACCATTAAAAAGCAAAAACAATGACTAGAGTCCTCAAAGTCCCACTTTGTCACTTACTACAGCACAGACAACGCCAGGTCCCTGCCAGCAACTGCCAAGAGAAAAACACCAGGTCAGAACTGTTTAGAGGTGCCAAGGTGCAGGTCAGAGCTGTTTAGAGGTGCCAAGGTGCAGGTGCATGGAGATGCAACGAGCACTCACCTTGGTTCATCTCAGCGACCTTCCCTAGGACACCAAGAGCACTGCAGGATTTGTGTCTTAGTGCAAGATTTTTTTGGCGTTTTCTTTCAGCATGGCAGTTCTCCACGGCTGGGAAGCAGCGTTTTCAACTGAGTCATCTAAAGACGCCGGTGATGGTCTGCAATGTTTGTTCTACTGAAATGTAGGTTGCATAACCAGAGCCCCTAGGTTCCTATTACACATCAGCTTGATGCAAGTAAGTCTGACCCCTCATCGGCAGGGCCGAGTTACGGCGAGAGGGAGAAAAACAACAGTTCCCACACGAACCATCCCAGAACTGAGCTCGCCCGCACCGCGTTTCCAGAAACAGGACACGAGAAGATTCGTAAGCTTTCTAGAACTGCCTTGGCTCCTGCCAGGTCATGAACAGCAAAAACACATTGTGACATTTCCACCTCGGGCTGCGGCCAGAGCGTGCAGCGAGCGCACGGAGAAAACCACGGGCTTTTTACAGGGCTGCACCTCCATTTCGGAGTGGGGAACGTGTAACTGAGGGTATTTTAAGACCAAAGTTTTGTTGTATCTTTCTGGGAAGCAATTTGCTCTGATCATCTTTTTTTTTTTTTTTTCCTCTCTCTCCCTCTCATAAGCCCAACAACTTCATCCACTTACAGTAATGTTCTCAAATACGAGCTAAACAAAATAATCTTCTAGTCTACAGGAAATCAATGCATTTCCTTCCTGATTACTATCTTATTTCTTCGCTTTGAGCACTTGGCTGATAAAACAATGAGTCAGGGGCAGCTCTACGTTTTGCAACTCACCCTTCTCATCACAGACATCCTCCGAGAAGCAACTGCCTACCAGAGCACACGGGCTGCGGAAAAGGCAGCCGGCTCCAAGGAAAACCCCAGTGCTGCTCTGGGGAAACGCTGCTCTCTGGTGAGCACCGCGTCCGGAGCGAGGCAAGCAGAGAGCCGGGCCCGACGCTGGGTGTGCACAGGCTCCTCGTGCAGCCCGCTGCTCCTTATCACATTTCTGGTTCCTCCTCGATATCCCGGGGGCTGCAGGCAGCTGATTAACACGGCCTGTTCCCACCTGCTTCCAGATGCTGCTGTGACCGTCCCGAGCGCCGCTCGCCCGACGTGGGACAGCGCCGGTGCCTCAGCAGGACACACATAACGGCCCCAGGGGACAAATACGAAATTTGCCCGCTCAGGAGCAGCCCCAGCACAACAGAGCCAAGCTGAGGGACAAGGGGACGCCCAGCGCGGGGACAGCAGCACCACGACCTGCAGCCAGACCTGCTCCACGCTGCTCCTCCTGCTTGCGATGGCAGGAGCCCCTCCGAAACGACGCTGCCGCTTACCCACGTATCTGCCCCCCGGCTTGATGACGATGGCGCTGCGGCTGCGCGTCTCCTCCTCCGCCTGCGCCATGCTCTGCCTCGCCTTCTGGTAGGAGTCGTCCGTAGCGCACACGGTGATCTTGTCCTGTATGCTCCCGAGGCAGTCCAGATGGATGTTGCCATTGCTGCAAAAGAGGAAAGCATGGAAGAGAGCACCCCGGCACTGCAAACAGGGACAGGGCCATGGCTGGCCAGTAACGGAGACTGTCTCCTCTAAACGTGCAAGATAGAAAGAAGCTGGGACGGGTGAACAGATCTTCTGCAAATACCTCCTTAGCCAAGTGTGCAGAACGATTAGGAAAAAAAAGAAAGAACTAATGAACATGCTCTGCAGTTTGTTCGAGTTGGTGAGTGAAGATTCTACAGAGGTAGCAGAAATAAAATCAAACAAAAGGCTCCGTTTGGGCTGCCACTCACCTCGACACGTACTGCTGGATGCAGTCGAAGCTCCCCTGGGGACTGTCCTTGCCGATGTTGGAGAGATAGAACGTGAACGTCCGCAGCTCGGCCGGGCGGTCGGGCCTGGGGATGGCGATGTGCTGCTCGGAGGGAGAGGGGAGGATCAGGCACCGACGCGACGCCCGCGGCCGCTCCGGCGCTCCAGAGCCCCGGCAAACGGGGCGCAGGGATCGCTGCGCGGAGCGCCGAGGGCAGGACGCGAGTTAGCAGAGCGCTGCCCTATAGCGACGTGTATGTGTGTGTTTGTACGCACGTATATACACACCCTACACCCTATAGCCACGTGTATGTGTGTGTATGTACGCACGTATATACACACCCTATACCCACGTGTATGTGTGTGTTTGTACGCACGTATATACACACCCTACACCCTATAGCCATGTGTATGTGTGTGTATGTACGCACATATATACACACCCTATACCCTATAGCCACATGTATGTTTGTGTGTATGTACACATGTACATACACACCCTATACCCTATAGCCACGTGTATGTGTGTGTGTATATGTGCACACGTATATACACACCCTATAGCCACATGTATGTTTGTGTGTATGTACACATGTATATACACACCCTATACCCTATAGCCA